GAGGGAAGCCCAAGCAGGTGCGATCGGTGCTGCAGTTCTGCCTTCCCCGCCTGGCCGTCCTGCTGCACCCGCGGCGGAGCTGTCAGCACCGGGTTTGGCCGCTGTTCGATGCCGGGAGGAGGAGGAGGCAGAGCAGCAGGACAGCAGATACGTGATGTGTGCGCCCCCGGAGTTACCGAGGGGCCAGGCAGAGCTGGGTGTCTCCAGGCTTGAGCGCCTCTGCAGCTTCTGATTTAAAAATAAAAGACAAACCTCTGACATCTGACACTCAGCGCTGTGGCCGTGCTGAGAATCAGCTATGAAATTCCTCCTGCCTCCCAGCTCCAGGCTGCAGGTGGATTTCCTTTCCCACCAGCTTTGCAGGCTCTGGGAAGGGTCATCTGCCGTGTTGGAACGTGGCTCAGGAGCAATGCCAGCCCACGAGCCCTGTCTGCACACACTGCTCCACTGGTGTTCGCTTTCCTGCTGCTTGTGGGAGAGCTGGGCTGTTCCCTCTCTTTGCTGCCAGCTGCCTCCTGGGCTCAGCTGTGATCACTCTTCCTCCTCCCACCAGACACTTGAGTTTAACCCCAAACTAAACAGGCAGGGGATGGAAAAGAGGAAGGATAGAAATGTATCCCGTGTTTTATCATGCAGCAGCTTCAGTTGAGTTGGTTTGGGATTTTCATTGTTACCCCAGAGGAAATGTGAAACTGTTTGGAATCGTCATACTTGATTTGAGCTGTGCAGACTGTGCTTGTCAGCCCTTAGTTCTTTTAAGACAGATAAGAAGGAGGGGCTGATAGTCCTTGTGGCTCCATGGGCCTTTCCTTGCCCTGCTACTTAGAAACCTTTTGGGACTTTTTTAATGGTTGACAACCCAGAGCTCCCCAAAGTCTTGCAATAATGACCACACATGCATGGGGAGTGAAGACTGTTAAGGTACTGCCTTTCCCCCAAACTGCATTTGTTCCCATCTCCAACTAATCCTACACCACCTACAGTGAGGCTGTCACTGTAGGGTTGCAGTGAGGTGACCTGTCACACCTGGTGTGACAGTGACACAGGGTCACTGGCCTCACCTGGCACCCTCTGGCCACCTTTGTCTGAGAAAAGAGACTGAATTGCCCACTATCCACAGAAGTCCTCCCTGCAGTTTGTCCTTTCCAGTGCCAGCCCACGGTGCCACCTGCTTCCAGGACATGAACTGGGGTCTCTCTTGCCCCATGTCCAGGCATCTCTCACAACAGCTGCAGGAATTTCATTGTCCAGGCAAAGGCTGAGAGAACAACATCCCCAGCACTGTTACTCTATGGCTGGAACCCAGAGCTATGGATCCTCTGATCCATACAGACTCTGTATGTGTATGGATCTGTATGTGGGCTCTGCCCACAGTTATTGATCAGCGTCAGGGGGCAGTGCCAGCTACAGTCAGAGCTGCCCAGAGCCACCTCCGGGGCAGTTGTCGCAACCTGATGTTCTGATTATTCCTGTCCCCTCCTGGGCCTGGGCCTGCCCTTGAGCCCTCTGATCAGAGCAGTCATGTGGTACTTGGCTAATGAGGTGACGCCCTGCACGGGCAGCACATTGTCAGGTGGAAGAGGAGACCCAGACAGGCCGAGGGAGAGGTTTACGGTCTTTTCTGTCCTACCGGCCATGGATAGGAAGCAGGAGCAAGCAGAGAAGGTACAGTATGCCCACAATGCCATGATTAACACCCTTTGTTTCTTCCCAGTCCCACTCTTTCAAGCTTCAGTAATTCCTCCTTCTCTTGTTTCTCTCATTCCTTCTCCAAACCTTCATCCCACTGTTCTTTGCCAGGTCCCACAAAGAGCTCAGGGCATTTTCTGTGGGGGCTTTATCACCTTGCAGATTTAGTTCTTTCTTCTTCTCTATACTTAACTGTAGCAAGGAGGTGTGGGGACAGCTATTTTCTCATTGCTTCAGAAATCAAAGGGAATGTTCTCACTGATTTTCCATCCTCAGTATGCTCACAGTGCAAAGTCCAGAGTCCTGTAGGAGTGTCTGATTCCGTAGACCCAATGGAGAGGGAGGTGCAGAGGGATTTCCAAACCTTTAGATTACAATTTAAACATCTTCAAGCTGAAGGAAATCCAACTCTGTTCACCTCAGAGGATGTTGTTATTCTTTTGGAGGAAAACCGGCAAGTTGATTTCCTGGTTAGCAGCTGGGTTTGCTGGTTTTTTTCTGCACTCATGGAAATGGTGCAGTGTTGTTAAGGGTTTTGGTCCCACGTGGTTGGATCCCAGGAACATGTTTGCATCACCCGCAGTTTCCTGAACAATCATTTTAATTCTGCCCCAAACTTAGCTAAATTCTGCCTCCTCAAAGCCAGAAGGGTAGTTGGATTTGGCACAAGAGTTCTGCTTAACTTTTTAGCCTTACGCTGTTGTAAGCAATAATGGAAGTTTCTGACAGTACATAAGATGATTATTTCTTTGACAACTTTCTTCCCACTTACCATGGGATGGAGGAGTTTGACTTTGTCAAACACATGGGTACTCTCAGCTGGAAGAGAGTGCGAGATGTGTCATTATCCCAGCAGCGTTTTCTCTGAGGAGCTGAGAATCAGTATCTTGGGAGGTGGAGTTTCTCTTTTGCCATTTTCCTGGATGTCCTATACCCTCTCCAGTACACCTGCACCTCACTTTGCTCTCTGCATGCTCTGCTCCCAGGCTGGGGTACCTATGTGCCTGCAGAGGGGCTGGATGGAGACTCCCAGATCCAGGTTATCTGCTGCCTTGTGCACCCTGGGGGGAAGTTTTGTCTCGACACTTGCTCTGTGCTTTGCAGGCCAGGCCCTATGGCCTGCTGAAGCCGACGGCTCTGGGTGCAATCCCAGGCAGATTCCAGCTGCACCAGGAAGCTCTGCCCAACCTGCCTGTGCCGCCGCTCCAGCAGACCCTGGATCGCTACCTGCTGGCCCTGCAGCCCATCGTCAGCCAGGAGGAGCTGAACCACACACAGCAGCTGGTGGCTGAGTTCCGCAAGCCTGGAGGAGTTGGGGAGAGGCTGCAGAAAGGCCTGGAGAGAAGAGCCAAGAAAACAGAGAACTGGGTAGGTTGGGACTTTGCCCACAGCTCTGGGTAGGGAGGGTGGAAGGGTGATGGACAGTTCTCCCATGTTCTGGCTGCATCCACTGGCACCTGTGTCTTAATGGCATCACCTTCGTGACCAGCTCAGTGCTGACCTCCCTGAGCTGTGCAAGTTCCTCACCAGGGCTTGGTTAACAGAGAGATTATGGCAGGACAGAGAGTCATTGGCCCTGCCTTTGTCTGCTGAAGGCTCTAACCTGTCAGCATCACACACCTGCCCCAAGAAGTTGAAGGAAACCCTTTGCTCCAGTCCTGCACCAAGAACCCCTCCCTGCCTTGCTGAAATCCCCCTCTCCCCTTCCACCTGCAAAGCACAAACCCCAAACAGTTTGTTTGCCAAGTGTGGGACAGAACTGGGGGCAGGATGCTGAGACTGTCAGCCAGGCTGGGGTCAAACAGCAGCAGCTGCTGCCTGTTGTCTTTGTCCATCCCAGCTCTCAGACTGGTGGCTGAAGACAGCTTACCTGGAGTATCGCCTGCCAGTCGTGGTCCACTCCAGCCCAGGTGTGGTTCTACCTAAGCAGGATTTTCTGGATCGACAAGGTCAGCTCAGGTAAAGTCCTTTTCTACCTTCCCACTGGTTTTAGATGGGATGAGCTATCTGTGCTGGACAGGGATGAGGCTGGTTGGGAAAGAGAGTAATTATCATGTGGTCCCCAAGTCTGAGCTGTGTGTGCTGTACAGACAAGGCAGTCAGGGATGTAAGGTTACTCCTGCTTACACCAGACTAAAGACTTAATTAGAGGGAAAAAGTCAGAGTCCAGTGGTTCAGGTATTAAACAGGGACTAAACCCCTGTGTTTCAGTCTTTGCTCTAGGACAGATCTTCATTGAAAGATGGTCAAATCAGTGGCAGGAGGCATTGTGAGGATGTACCTGAGCCACTAAGATTGAATGTGTGCAGTTAAAGGAGGCATAAAAAGTAGCCCAGGCATGTAAAGGAGATCCTCCAGAAATGCCTCTGGAGTTTGCTACTTTAGAGGGATGGGGGAGCCTGACAGGGACTGTCTCCTGTTGTGTTGTTTCACAGTGACCAACCTCTCCACTCTGAGCTTTTCCTTGCCATCAAACCCTGCCATGTCCTCTCCTCTTTGTGGGCTCCCTTTAATTTTTAACCACTGCTATGAGTGTGTTAAATCCACCTGCAAAACTTTAGCATTGACCTTTACACAGCTACCTTTGCCACAGTTACCAGTCATCACTGTCCTGGCAGATCAGAAGTACCACCCAGGGGATCAGTGAGGCTGGGAACAAATCCTCCCTCCCACTCCTGTGATACACTTGAGCAGAGGTGCAGGGGATAAAGCCTTAGGGCAACAGTGCAAGAGTAGAGAAACATCTTTGAAAGCTCTGTGGTGTTAGTCACTCTTGAGTTATCCAAACTGGAGCACTGCCAGTGCCCGAAACAGTGAAACTGAGCAGCTGCACAATCTCCTATGCAAAATACAATCTCAATGTCTGTTTCCCTCAGGATTTGCAGTGAGGCTGAGAAATTTTCATTGGTTTTCAAGACTATTTAACAGCCCTTGGATTCTTGGAGCTGTGTCCTTTGATCTTTACTAGGGATTGGTAAACTGAGCCAATCTAGACAGACAACTCTGCCTGCAAATGCCAAATGCTGGCACCACTTGACATAGCTGACCACGACCTCTTGCCCTAGTGACCTCCTGCCATGCACTGGTGGGAGCTCCCAGGTCAGAGAAGGCCAATCTGTCACTCCTAGCTAGGCAGTTTGATGTGGCTTGTCACAGCCCTGCTGGGGCCTGACAGTGACAGTGTTCATGTTGATCCTGGTAAACACACCACCACAGTGTCCACATGCAGCATGTCTGTCTTTGTTTCAGAGCCCTCAGTGGCAGAGGAAGGTTCTTGAGAGTTGCATTAGTAGCAGAACGTTCATTGGGTAGGAACAGAGTCAGCAGTGGTGTCTTAGATGAAGGGAGAAACAGCTTCATGTTGGCTTGGACACTCTGAGGTGGCCTCTGGCCAGGGAAGGGCACAATTCACCCTTCCTTGGACCTGTTTTAGTGCTGAGAATCAGAATTGGGATGTGACAGAATCCCAACACTCCGGTAAAATGCTGCTGCTAAGTGGTCACTAATGCGTCTGGACTGAATCCTGCTTTCTTGAAAGTTGTCCAGAGTTCCTTGGTTGTGTAGTAAGATAGATAAAAAGAGAAAGTACTACATGGTAGGACTATCCAGCAATCTCAGATCACGGCCCAGAGTGGCTCCATCAGCAATCCTGAGATGGGCACAACAGGGGCTTGGCAGAAAGGGTGAGTTTCCCAAGGAGCTGAGAGCAGCTCTGCTAATCCTCCTCAGCTCGTGCCTCAGCCCCAGATGGTGTGTGCTTGAATCTCAGCTTGTTACATTTGGTATTTTTCCAGGTTTGCTGCCAAGCTGATCGAGGGCATCCTGGATTTCAAGACCATGATTGACAAGTGAGTTACTGACCCTCCTGACTGCTCACAGGTTTCTTACTGTCATAGAGAGGCTGAGCCTGGTCCATAAACCTCCCTTCCAAATAGAAAGGCATAAGGAGACAGCACATATTTGAAAACAGATATTGTAATCCCCAGCACTGCTCACTGCTCACCACCACTGAGAAAGAAAACAAACTTACTTTTCTTTCTTCATGTTGTTTACCTTAATGCTTTCGTTGGCACATATACGTGCTTGGAGGCACCAAGCCCAACAGACAGTCCCACAGAGCTACAGAGTTCTGTTTGCTCACAGGAGAAGTTACAGCTCAGGCAACAGGAATTTGTTTCTCGCACTTTGGGCTCCTGGTGTTTCTCATCTCTCAGCTATATGGGATGAGCTCTAGAGAAATTTATTCTTCCCTTACCCTTTTTCTTTCTGTGACCAGCAAGTTTCTGCTGAACATGCCTTAATAAACTCCAAAGATATGTTTACCAACACCAGCAGTCAGACAAGGGCAGCAGCAGTCAGGGCTAGCTGTGACTGCTGAATCGAGTGACGGAGCCCCAGTCTAGTCCATGTCAGACACATCAGACACTTGTCACTCAAAATTACAGCCATGAAGGAGGTCCAGAGATCTCACTCACAGAGAGGACACTGATTTTCCCCTTCCCAAATGAAAGGCCAGCAAAGAGATTTCTTTTCATAGCCCCTACCTAAGGCAGCTGGTATGAATGGGGAAGGACAGACCCTTTTTATGGCACCAACACCTTCAGGGTTTGCAGTGACAGCAGGTGCATGGCTGAGCCTGTGCCTCTTGCTCACACTGATTTGTTTTCTCTCCCCCTTCCTCCTTACCTTGCTGTGCCTCCAGTGAGACCCTTCCAGTGGAGTACATGAGTGGGAAGCCTCTCTGCATGAACCAGTACTACCAGATCCTCTCATCCTGCCGCATCCCTGGGCCCAAGAGAGACTCCATTGTCAACTATGCCAAAGGCAAAAAGCAGTCCAGACACATCACAGTGGTGCACAACTTCCAGGTATGGCAGCTGCTGCACTTCCAAGGTTTGTTTGGATCCAAGTGTCCCTTTCAGCTAGCTGTCATCCACAGGAAAGGGAACAACAGAAAGTCTCTGCTCACAGGGTTTGCCTCAGCAGGGATTCATTCCTGTTCCCTTTATCCCCTTTGGTCAGTGAGGCCAACAGCTAGAATTGTGTGTGAACAACAGACTAGGAAGCAGAGAAATGCTCTCTTCCTCTTTCTTGTTCCTGCAATTCCTGTCTCTCAAAGCCCAGAGGTCTGGAATTGGAAATTGCAAGTGAAAATTGGATAACAAACCCTCCCACCACAGCTGAGTCTCAGAAACAGGAATTCCTTGAGTTTTGGCCCTTGTTACCATGGTTTCTGAGCCTCTGGAAACCAGAACTGTATTTATGCCTTGCAAGGGAAGCTGGACTCAGTCTCTCGATTCTGAGTATCTCCTTGCAAGCTGAATCTTACCTTCTCAAAGTAGCTGTTCCCTGTTCCTGGGGCTGGACAATAACAATCTTCTTTCATGTCCTCTGTCCTTGTCCACTCTTCTCACCTTCAGTTCTTTGAGCTGGATGTTTACAACAGTGATGGAAGTCCCCTTACTGCAGCCCAGCTCTTCGTTCAGCTGGAGAAGATATGGAACACCTCCCTCCAAACAAACAAAGAACCTATTGGGATCCTGACCACCAACCACCGGAACAGCTGGGCAAAAGCCTACAACAACCTCCTGAAAGGTCTGTAGAGCCTTTAACACACAAGTGCTAACAAACACCACAAATGCTTCAACTGGCAACCTCACTGCTGTGCTCTGCTCAGTTCTTGCCTTTGGAAGCTTGTTCTGGACACATAACATGAGTTTTACACCTCAAAAAAAAAAATCACTGAAGGTACTGTTATTTTTCACAGTATCATTCGGGTTGGAAAGACCTCTGAGATCATCAAGTCCAACCTGTGGCATAACACCAGGATGTCAACTAGACTATGGCACTAAATGCCATGTCCAGTCTTTCCTTAAACACCTCTAGGGACAGTGACTTCCCCACCTCCTTGGACAGCACATTCCAGTGTATAATCATCCTTTCTGTAAAGAATTCTTCCTAATGTCCAAGAGGTTTGGAAGGTACAGATTTGAAGTCTGAAGTTTGGTTGTAAGACCTGAAATCCCGAAGTTTTTTTGCCTTGCAAATAGGTAGGATGTAAGAAATGATGAGTTAAGGGACACAGACACAGTCAGGTCATGTAGGAAGAAAATTAGAGAGACAATCTGGCCACTTCTGTTAGGGATAGCAAAAAGTCTTTCTATAAATACATCAATACCAAAAGGAAGGGCAAGGAAAACCTTCATTCCTTGTTGGACATGGGAGGGAACAGAGTGACCCAAGATGAGGAGAAGGCTGAGGTACTTAACTCCTTCTTTGCCAAAGTTTTTAATAGCAGGATAGATTGTCCTCAGGACAACTAGACTCTAGAGCTGGATAGTCTAAACTGGACTCTAGATCTGATAGAGATAGGAAGCCAAATAGCCTCCCTGGAATCCAAGAGGAAATGGTTAGAGATCTGCCTAGCTGCTTGGATCCTCACAAATCCATGGGACCAGATGGGATCCATCCCTGAGTGATCATGGAGCTGGTGGAAGGGTTTGCCAAGCCACTCTCCATCATTCCTGGCTCACTGAGGAGGTCCTAGAGGATTGGAAGTTGGCGAATGTCACACCAATCCACAAAAAGGGTTGCAAGGAGGAGCCGGGAAATTACAGACCTGACCTCAGTGTCTGGCAAAATCATGGAGCTTCCTTGCTCACAGTTCCTTTCTCTCCCAGATAAGACCAACAAGGAGTCTGTGCGTGCCATTGAGAAAAGTATCTGCACGGTGTGCCTCGATGCCCCCATGCCCCGAGTGTCCCAGGATGTCTACAACAGCCGCGTGGCCGCGCAGATGCTGCACGGCGGGGGCGCTGGAACAGCGGCAACCGCTGGTTCGACAAGACCCTGCAGGTGAGCAACTGCCCCGAAGGTGTTGAACCTGCAGAGGGTTTCCTCCTGAGGTTGGTTACAAAAGTCCAAGAAATCCCCAGAAATTCTGCCGGCAAGTTTTGTCTCACGTCAAAAGAGAGAGAAGTCAGTGAGGTGTGGTCGGGGACAGTGTGTGGGATTCGAGTACAAGTGCCATGAGGAGAGGCGGAGGGAGCTGGGGCTGTTCAGCCTGGAGAAGAGGAGGCTCAGGGGAGACCTTATCACCCTCTGCAACTCCCTGACAGGAGGTTGGAGTCAGGTGGGGGTTGGTCTCTTCTCCCAGGCAACTAGCAGGAGGACAAGAGGGCACAGACTCAAACTCTGCCAGGGGAGGGTTAGGGTGGATATTAGGAAGAGATTTTTTTATGGAGAGAGTGCTCAGGCATTGGAATGTGCTGCCCAGGGAGGTGGTGGATTCACCATCCCTGGAGATTTTCAAGCTGAGACTGGATGGGGCACTTAGTGCCATGGCCTAGTAACCACAGTAGGGTTGGACTGATGATCTTGGAGGTCTTTTCCAACCAGGTTGATTCTATGATTCTCTCTGTGGTTCACCTTGCAGTCACCAGCACTCACTGCTGCCTCAGGGGTTTGTTTCTTTCACTGCCTCTGCCCACGCTTCCTTGGTGTAGCAGGTCTTTGTGTTCCTCATAAATCAATTTGCTGCCTGCAGTGAACAATGCCTTGTCTGCTCCAGGCAGCCCAGACCATGGGAGGTCTGTTCCTTGGATCTCCTCCAGGCTTGTCACTTTTCCTGATTCTGCCCAATGGCATTTTGTTTTGTTTTTTTCAAACATAAGCTGCCACCCTACAGCATCTCTCTGATCTCTTCTCCATTCAGTCTTGTCAAAAGCCTTCAACAACAGCTGCTCTTGGAGTTTTGCCTCCATTAGTTGGTATGTCCTGGCTTGGGGATTGTAGCAGTGGTGGTCTATAAGATTCTTTTCATAAGATTCTTTTCATACCTGTTGAACTCTTCAGAATGTTTCCAGCTGGTTTGTTCCCATTTGGAACTCTGCATTGATGGGATACAGTTTAGAAGTTCCAGCTAATTGAAAAGGGTAAGGCAGCATGTGGTGATGTTATTCCTGTACTCTGTGTGCATCCAAGTAAATCAGAAGTGAGACGGAGTGAGGGAGAGGAAGAAGAACTCTTGTAAGATGCTGTAATAAACTCTCCTCTGTTCTCTGTAATCTGCATCTTCTGCCTACTTTTGCTGTACCTTTTCACTGAACCACCCTGGCCAGGGCTCTGAGCACACTGATATGTCAGGAACACCCTTATCCAGGGAATTTTGCAAACTCTTAACAGTGCTGTCAGATCTCCTACACCTACTGAAAAGCTTCCACTGCTGTTCTGCTACATGAGACTTCTGTTACCTTTCCAGTGTGCAAGGACAGGATCCCTGTCCATTCTGATGCAGACAGGGAGACACTGAGATCTCTGTGGGTATCTCCTCCTTCACACACTGCCTGAGTGTGTTTAACCCCATCCTGTTGTGCTTCTCTCCCAGTTCATCATTGCTGAGGATGGCTCCTGTGGTTTGGTGTATGAGCACGCTCCCTCCGAGGGACCACCCATCGTGGCTCTACTGGATCACATCGTGGAGTTCACGTGAGTCCTGACTCCTCCACTCCTCCTGGGCATAGATTCTAAACCTCCTGCTCCCCAGGAATATGCCTCTTCACAGCTCACTCCCCAGGAATCTGTTCTGGAGGAAAGGTAGTGTGTTGGGAATTAGGTATTGCAGTTCTTATATCCATGAGGGAAATGGAGTGGCCAAGTTACTCTAGATTTTGCTATTTCCACTCTCAGGGAATTGCACAGCCTGGGAGAGGTGTTTGTTTCTTTTGTATTCTTTTACATTTCATTTATATGCCCTTCATAAAACATTTTAATGATACTGTGAGGAATTTTTCAGGCCTGTGACCAGTGTCACAAGGTGTTAGGAAAGATCTCCTGTGCATTTCTGTCCAGGTTCTGGCATTTAAGCTGTGGTCAAACAGACCTATTTCTCTGTGCAGGAAGAAGCCTGAGGTGGTCAGCTCACCCGTGAATCCTCTGCCAATGCCCAAAAAGCTGCGGTTCAACATCACCCCAGAAATCAAGAATGACATAGAAAAGGCAAAGCAAAACCTCAACATGTGAGTATGAAGCAATGGAGAGGTTTGGGGAGTGAGTGAGGGAGTAATTCATGGAACCATGAACATGTCAGTGGTTTAAATGAGGCTTTCCCCACTGCAGCCATGGAATTTTCGCAGTGACTTCTGGAGTTAACAGCATTGAACTGAGCTAAAAGCACTAAAGCCACTTGCCAGGTGCCAAAGGTGCTGGAAAGGGGTAATGCCTGATCCAGCCCATTTGCTAAGAAAGAGCAAGGTTTTACTGGATCCAGCTAGGAGTACTAAAAAAACCCCATCTAACCTGGGGAAGATTTTCAGCATTGGCCAAAGAAAAATCTTACCATGGTGCTGCCCAGACAGATGTGTGTGTGCTAGAGCTCTCTGTCCCTGCATAGTTCAGGTCCAGACCTGTTCCCTCTGAGCCTCATGAGCAAATGCATACCTTGGGTACAAGACTTAGCAACAGGTAAAGTAATACTTTCTCTTGCTTTCCTTGCAGAATGGTTGAAGACCTGGATATCAAAGTCATGGTCTTTCATCACTTTGGGAAAGGCTTCCCCAAATCAGAGAAGATAAGCCCTGATGCTTTTATCCAGTTGGCCTTGCAGTTAGCATACTACAGGTAAGACAACAGGTCATTTCTCAACCTCCTCACCATCACACTCAAACACATGAGCTGAGCAAGGTGGCACAGACAAGGCTCTGCAGGTCACTTCTCCCAGGGCAGACTCACTCTGTGACTTTTCTCTCCATGTCCCAGGATGTATGGCCATGCCTGTGCCACGTACGAGAGTGCGTCGCTGCGCATGTTCCGCTTGGGCCGCACCGACACCATCCGCTCGGCCTCCATGGCCTCCCTGAACTTTGTGCAATCCATGGACAACCCTGACACATCGGTGAGCACCTCAGGGATGTGGAGTAAGAGGAATCCACTCCGGAACAGAAATTCTTTCCCTCCTAGACAGATCCAAAATGAGGTTTTGCATTTAGCAGAAAAACTTACAGATCTGTGTGTTGTCAGGAGCAGGACAAAGCAGAGCTGCTGAGGAGAGCCACCCAGGCCCACAGGGAATACACAGATATGGTGAGTACAGGTAGACTACTCTGTGCAGGTAGACTGAGGGGTGTACCCAGGGTGTGAGTGATCGGAGAGATCTCAGAGCCACTCACAGTTCTGGGCATACTAAGGTCTTTCCCTTTCCCTTTCTTTCCTTCCTCCCTCCCTCCCTCCCTTCTGTTCTTTCTTTCTGCAGGCAATCCGTGGCAATGCCATAGACAGGCACCTGCTGGGCCTGAAGCTCCAAGCCATTGAGGACCTTGTCTCTATCCCTGAGCTGTTCATGGACACAGCCTATGCAGTTGCAATGCACTTCAATCTCTCCACTAGCCAGGTAAGACTCAGCTGCCCAATCCAGAACTATTTCCTACCTTAGTTCCCCACGTGTCTCTTTCATTCCTTTCTTCATTTGGCCTCAGGTATTTTCCAAACCCTGAAGCTGCAGATCTGATCTTTGAGCTGCCATTCACCCTCAGAACCCAGTTAAAATAACCCACCCTAACCAAAGTTATGATCAACACAAGTGTTTGGTGTTGATGTGTAAATGTAACTGAGATAATCAGATCAGCTGCCAGAACAGCTCTGTGTTGTGTTATGCACTGTGCTCTGACTTGTACTGATGGAGTTCTACTTGTGACTTACTACAAGTTTATTCTGTTGAACACCCATTGCTACTAAGTGGAAGGTGGTGGGTGGTGAGGCTGACAAAGACTCTTCCAGAGCAGTTTATTGAGGTGACAGTTTCTTCTGTCAGCTTTGGATGGTTTCATTCCCCTCTGACTGGTCAGAAGGTTTTAATCCCATTGTCTCCACAGGTCCCAGCAAAGACAGATTGTGTGATGTGTTTTGGTCCCGTGGTTCCAGATGGCTATGGAGTCTGTTACAACCCCATGGAAGAACACATCAACTTTGCCATTTCAGCCTTCAACAGCTGTGCCGACACAAACGCGGCTCGCATGGCACATTATCTTGAGAAAGCTCTGCTAGACATGAGGATCTTGCTCCAGTCGGCTCCCAAATCCAAGCTGTAAGAGGCAAACAGGATGCAAATTCCCCAGTTAAAGGGGCTATGCACTGAAGTTCCCAGTTCCTCAGCAAATGATGAGAGAACCTAGGAAGATACTTACCCTTTGTTCTCAGCCAGAGGTTACAGAATAGTCACCCACAGGTATTAGACTCTGGAGTGAGAGGAAACACTGTCTCAAGCCAAAGGGCAACTGACTGCTCCTCTCCCATCAATGCAAAGTGCACCTTCCTGTCCTCAAAGGGGACTCAAATAGGATTTTTACTCAAGTTATGGTAAAGGAATCCAGAAAGCACAGTCCTCACCTGCATCTAAATCCATTTGGTGAGGAAGGTAGTTTTTTCCCAGGAAAAACAGGGAATGTTTATTGTATGATGTAAGTACAGTTAAGACCAAGTCTTTTTGCTGGTTAGTCTTCCAAAGAGCAACTTTGTGACTTGACTGAAGGTTTTTCTGCTGCTCCAGCAAAACTTCACAGTTGAACTTTGGCAAGAAGTTAAGGCAGAGCAGCTCCAATCTTGTTAGAGTGCACTGCACTACTTATCCCAGGCACTCCAGGCAATATATGCTTTCCAGGTGTGGGAATGTTCCCTTCCCCTCCTTTTGGGCTGTTGGGATCTCCCTTCTGTTGCACTGACCCTATTAACAACAGAATAGAACTCACTACCAACTAAGGTGGGTTTTATTGTTGGTTTTGTTGTTGCTCTGAGCTTTTTGTCAAGTTTGCTGCTGTGGCCCTGTCATTGATCTTCCAGCTCAGCCTAAAGCTTTTTCCCCTAAAAAAGAGCTTCTACAAACCTCCCCTCACACAGGCTTTGCCAGCTTTGGCTTTATGTACCTTTGCAGAGATGAGAAGGGATTGCCTATGCATTTAGCAGGACATTTGCTTTGGACCTGAGGAAAAGAAAAAGATGCTGAGTGTTTACTAGCCAGGCCACGTGCCTAGTCTCCTTCAGGACACACACATTAACCCAAGGTGGTTTTATTACACCTTGCTTTCAGAAACAGCTTGTTTGTGCACAGTGTTGTGCCTCAGCTGTGCACAAACAAGGATTTTTCTGATCAGGAACTCCAGAACATTCTTCCATTTCTGGCCCAGACAGTTAAAAACTGTCCAGGGCCAAAGGAAAACCAGCTGCAGAATGACCCTTCTTTCACATCACCCTGTTTAACAAGGCAGAAAATCTGGCCAAGCAGGAAAAAAAGCTGAGAACATGTGGCCACTGTAGATGTTTGTGCAGTGTGACAGCCACAGTTCCTGCAGTAACAGCACAGCACCTTTCCTGCCACTCCTGGGAGTTGTTTCTTACTGCAAGATTACTCAGATTCATGCCAGCTTTATTCTGGGAGAGAATGATGTCATGGTAGTGTTTTCACGTTCAGTTGACAAACTGGAGACAGTAAAAGATTATGTATCAAATTAACATAGTAGCATAGGAACTAATTCCAACCAACCTGCCAGAATCCAAGCTCCTAACTACACTTTGACTTAGGAAAACCATATGGTAGAAAGGAATTCCAGTGCTAGGTCTGCCATAGGAAGTTTTACATTGCACACCCTTCAAGATGTGTCTGCTGGGACATCACCACAACCAAGAAACACCAGGAGTGTGATGGTTCTGTTAACAGGGAAATACTTGATCACAACTGCTCCTTTCCTGATCACAGAACAACAAGGGACATGATCAAAGTGCCTTAATGAACATATAGGAAGAAATTTGCACTAAAGCTCTTTAAAAGAAAAAAAGTAATTCTAATTTCCTTCTTGAAAGACACAAGTCAATGCTATGGCTTTTGGTTGTTTTTCTCCCTGAAAGGATGTTATTTCAAAGCTTCTATCTTATACCTAAACGAACCTTAACAAGAAAAATTTAACTGAAACTCACCTGCACAGCCAGTGATTGTATGAACTGCCACTTTCACATCATCTACATGGATTTAGTTGATCTTTTAGAAGAATCCTGAATGGAGTGAGACAGCCTAAAGACACGACCAGGAGCACTACAAACCTGCAAGCACGCAGCCCTGCTCTGTCCACTCCTCTGTATCAACCAGACTGAAAACTGCAAGAGGATACTGTGAGGGACTGTGGAAATACTACAGAAAAGATCAAACCTTACTGGAATTACATCTGGATTCACAGAGCCTTTTACATAGAAAAAAAATATTCTTTTCACCAAAGCAATCCTCCCCCTGTACTGAATCAGCCTCTGTTGCCAGGGGAGGAGATATTTCTCCCTATCTGCAGTGCCTTCAAGCACTCATGCTCCAGTAGTGCTGCTGAAGTGTTTGAGACTGGCCCTTTCCAATTCTGTCTCAGGGGGAAAGGCGCTCAAAGGAAAGTGCCTATTAAAGATGACCCATCCGTGTGCTCTGTGCTGACCATCCCTCACAAATGGGATCTAAATCTGGATATCCCACCAGCTCCAGGACAGTACAGCTGCAAGCAGAACTGTCACACTGAAAGAGATCCAAGATTCCCAAACCACTCCATGCATCCTTACTGATCCACAGAGCTGAAGTTCAGATGAATGAAGCTGATTTTTGAAGTGCTTGAAAGGACGCTAAAATTGTGATGAGGTTTGTCCTTTTAAAAGTCTTTTCTTACTGTACAAGTTCTAAAATGTGATGTCCTCCTAGATTTTTTTCAGTGCTGACTTACTGCATACTGTTCTCCCTGTTTCTGATTGTTTTCTCAAGAGATGGCTATTTTCTTAAAGGCACATTAAGTACCAGAACCAGAAAAAACCTACTGATTTCCAACAAATAATTGAAGAAATTCCTAGACTGAAAATATTCAGATAATTCTTGGGGTCCGAGTGCAATTTTTGACACAGCCTGGTAGTGTTGCATGCTTTGCTGGGAAGCTGTGTTAAATACTCTTTGGGTATAGGATCCATGTCATGCAAAGTCTGGAAACATTCTCTGAATAAACTGAAACACAATAAACAGATAAGTGCTACAAAAAAAGGCTTCAATCTCCTTAGACACTGCAGAAGTTACATAACTACCCTTCTGGGAGGATGTTTGTGTGGGGACAGCAAGAACAGTGAACCACAGCATTCTGTCACCTTCCTTTTATTGTTGTTGTATCTCCATCCAGCCCCCTCAAGTACAGGGGAGGAATAGAAAAGCATCTGCTTGCAAAGCCACGTATTCCCAAGAAAATATTCCATTTCAGAAAACTAGTGGCAGGAGACTCCATACAAGTGTAGGATAATAAGGCAGAGCTCAAATCTTTAGCCTGCACAGCACCATTGAGTTAAGAAAATCCATGGAATCACTAAGGAATTTCTACTGTATCAAGTATTGCAAAGGTTTCTGAAAAGGTACAGCAAAAGTAGGCAGAAGATGCAGATTACAAACACAGAGAACAGAGGAGAGTTTATGACAATGTCTTACAAGAGTTCTTCCTCCTCTCCCTCACTCCTAAGAATTACTGTAGGGAGCTTGGGATTGAAGGCAACATGAAGTGGAACAGCTTTTTACACTACACTGCTCTCCATGAGGAGATGAACCCTCTTCCCTAGGCTCTAGTTCTCAACAGGTCCTTCCATATATAGTTTTCCCAACAGTCATAACAGCTTGAGAAGCTGTGGAAGTGCTGAAACAATCCACTCTTTCAGCCTTGGGGAAGAGAGTTGGGGAATCCTTTGTGGCTTTCTAAGTTCCCTTACAAGAGATAGAGAAAATCAATGGTTTTGCAAGACATAAGTGATTGGTACCAGTTTTCAAACTGAAACCTGTGGTACCACCATGTCATGGGGCCTATCTCATCTTAACAGAGCTGGTCTAAGCCAGATCAAATGTCCTTGTGAAAGCTGCAAGATGCCTCTTTGTTATGATGCACCTTCAAAGCAGATCCAGTGCTGGGATCCTTCAGACCTTACAGGGTTGCTCATGTTATACAAATACTAAACAGTTCTTAAAAAAATAATATATCTCTGCTGTAACAACTGAAAACAGTTAATTTCCTACCCATAGCTACTTCAACACAGAAATTTGAACAGCCTTCACTCCTGATCTCTTGGATCAGGCTCACTGCTTTCTACACTTAACCCTCTGCCTGTCCAACAGCAGCTCCCACTCCACACAGACACACAAACTCCTACAGCAACAGGCACAGATGAAAACTTGGAAAAAAAAATAACAAAATAACAAAGATGAACAGGAAAAAAAATCTCACTTCAAGCAGCTTTTATAATGCAGGAGTCTGATTGGAGATAGTAAAAACAGGCAGCAAGACTGAGATGGGACAGTCATTTTACCTCTGCTCACATGACTGCATCGAAGGCACCCGATGACCTTTGAGAGCCAGTTCAGAAGCTGTGTCCTTTATCTGTGAAAGTTCAAGTCAATTGTGCTTTGAATAAATACTTCTCTGTAGTTAACACTTGAACTGCTGCATTAAGAGACCAGAAATACAGAAAGTGTCCATGCACAGCCCTGAAGCACTTGGAGTAGAGCCCTTGCCAGGTTAACTCATGGGTCACAGAGGTCGTAGGCATCACCAGCACACAGAGATGGCAGGCACACTCCCACAGAGACACAGCACCCAGAGAGCCACTGGCCACACGGAGAATCAGCATGGAAGAAGGATGGAAAGCAAAACTTGCTTGCAGGAGTTCAGCACTCAAGGTTAACAACTGCAGAACCCCAACCAAGCTACTGTGATAACTGGCAGGAGCCTCTGCTAGGACAAGTTCCCTACTTGGAGTTCACGGCTGGATTCTAGCAGGACTCTTTGAGAAGTGATTCAGAGAGCAGCTGAGCTAGTTCTTTGCCTTGTTGTTCATTTCTGGTTGTCACTGTGTTCGTTCTTAAAAATCCCTCCCTTCAGCTTCAACAGAAAGTCAAAAAAAATTCAAATCCAGTGCTTAAGACAGAGACCAGCAACTGAACTTTGTAAGGCTTTGGGCTGACTCTTCCTGGAGCACAGCACTGCTCATAACCAAAGGGCTTCCCAGTGCCCTCAGCATGCTCAGTACAGCCAGAGAAGCTGTACAGATCACAGCAACCCTGAGGTAATAAAAGTGTAAAGGAAGAGATGGAATCAACATGAGATATGTATGAGAATCTTGCCACCTAGAAGAGATTCTGAGTAGGACACTCTTGCTAATTACACAACAGGAGCAGCAGTGGAAAAAAAATAGGAGTCAGTATATTTGTGGTTTTCCTTTGTTTTACACACACACTCCTCTTAACGGTATCCGTGCAGGTTTCCCTGCAGTGCTGTCACTAGTGTTAAAAATCAGATCCTCAGAGTCTCTTTCTGCCTGTACAAAGTGCAGTTGGAATTGATTTTGATCTCCCAAACTGGTTGCAGAAAGGACAGAAAGTGTCTTCCTCTCCCTTCTGTCTAGGTCACCCCAAGCTAGTTCCCCTCCCTCCTAAGAAGTTTTTAAGAATGAAAAGCCCTAATTAAGCAAGATCAACTTGAGATTAGTTTTGTCATCTTCTTCCAAATAAAAATTAAAAAAAAAAAAAAAAACCCGAACAGAAAAAAGCCAAAACGAAACACACACTCAATGCCTCACCCACCCCAAAAACAATAGTTCCATTTAAAAAAATAAATAAATAGTGTGTATATTTCATGCTGAAAAACAAACAAAAAAAAAGTCACAGAAAGGATTCATTTTTGGTTTTCCCTCCCCCAAACACGACACCAGGCATTTTCTCCCCCCTCCCCTGACGTAGACATGATGGTACATTCCAACCGGCAATGTGCATCGGTGTCGAAAATGAGTTTCTACTCCTGCACGGTCCCACATGCATCAGGGAGCATCCAGCTTAGCTGCTAAAGCAGAGCAAAGGCTTTCAGGTTTTGGGTATGGTCCCTGCCTGTTCCTTTGGTCCGTCTGTTAAAAGGCTCCTTGCTGCTCCCAGGTCTCTTGTCTGTCTCCGTTAAAACCTGCGCTCTGGTCCCACGTTCCTGCGTCACTGCAGCTTCGTCCCCAGCTTGCGCTGTCTGTTCCTGCAAGGCAACACAGCACAGGTGGCACAGGTGGCACAGGGGGGCAGAAAGCCAACCCAATCCTGGGCTGCAGCCAAAGGAGTGTGGCAGCAGGTCGAAGGAGGTGGTTTTCCCACTCTGCTCTGCTCTGGTGAGGTCCCACCTGGAGTGCCGCACACAGTTCTGGTGTCCCCAACATAAGGAGGACATGGAACTGTTGGAGCAAGGCCAGAGGAGGTCACAAAGTTGGTAAGAGGATTGGAGCACCTTCTCTGTGAGAACAGGCTGAGAAAGTTGGGGCTGTTCAGCCTGGAGAAGAGAAGGTTGTGTGGAGACCTCAGAGCAACCTGCCAGGAGCTGAAAGGACTACAAGGGAGCTGCAGAGCGACTCTGTGTGAGGAGCTGTAGCAACACAAGGACTAATGGGGATAAACTGAGAGAGGGGAAATTTAGATTAGACATTAAGAAGACATTTTTCCCTGTGACAGTGGTGAGACACTGGCCCAGGTTGCCCAGGGAGGCTGTGGCAGTGTTCACAGCCAGGTTGGATCAAGCCTGGAGCAACCTACTCTGGTGGTAGTTGGGCAGGGGGTTGGGGCTGGATGATTTCTCAGATCCATTCCAACCCCATGACACCAGCCACAGCACAGCAAACTGCAACACCCAGAGGGCAAAAGACACTGCTTAGATCCACACAGAACTAAAGCTGCCCCAGCCATACCCTACAGGGAGATCAGCCCATCTCACTCTTCACAGCTGTAGAACATCCACCTGTGTACACAAGCTCACACATGGATGCAAGATTATAAACAACTGCTTGCAAAAACCATGGGGCAAGGAGCTGAAATACTACTCTAATGAAAGAGTCTTTAATCTCACACCCTCCAGACTCACCTTTCAGATGCAGCTGTTAACCCACAAATGGGTATTTCTTTACTCTGAACTATTTTACCCACAGCACCTGGCCACAGGTCAGGAAATGAATCCACCAAACTCACCTGGCTTCTGCTCTCGTGACTGTGTATTCAAACCACAGGATGTTAGGAATGAGGCTGGTATCTCGGATTAAAAAGAACTCTGAAATTGGCCTGAAAACAGACAAGGTGGTGGAAATAATTAGACTTCCTCCACCACGATTTTGATTTTTTAAAACCCCTAAAAAACCCACCACAAGAACTGCTCCAAAGTTAACAGTACTATTCTATCACTTCAGGCTGGGTAAAGGGCTCCTTGGAACATTTAATCAAAAAACTTCTTTTTTCATTCCTTATACAATGCTTCCAGACTGTATTACATGTAAATGCCTTTGCAATTTTACTAGGTCATCAGACATTCAGTAAGAAAGATCTGTTCTGCTTGCAAAGCTCCTGCAGCACTCTGCCACACCTCACAGCTTCAGCAGGGCTTTACACACACAGCAGCTGATTACATTTCCTCTCTTCCCCACCCTTATCAAGGCTACACCATCCTTTGTATATGCATGCACAAGAAAACATGGAGGAACAAGTAGGTTACACAACACCCAGTATGCAAAACTGGGACAGAGCCCAGGAATTCTCATTTCTAACAGCTGGAACAAACCTCCACAGAATAAAGAGACTTACCACGCAGCTATCCTCGGGAAGAGAGGAGTTAGGATCTCTTGTGTGAAGGCAAACCAGGCTATGGCCATAATGCTTCCTGCCACACCTCCATATAGGACTTGGCTCCAGGTGTGGTAAAGCAAATAAACCCTGCAGGGGAAAAGAAGAGTCACCAGACAGGCTTGAAGGCAAAAGGAGACAAGACCCAAGAGTTGAGGTTTCACTGGACCCACAGACACGGTGAGTCAGTTATCCTTCAGATGTTAAAAGTGGTTATCTTTTTGCAATAAAAGCCTGGCAAAAACAGTGTGGAAAAAAGAACTGGAGAAAAACTCTTCCCTGCTATAGCAGTTTCAGCTCAGAGCACTTCTGGTTTGAGCTTAACTTGATAACCCTCCACATTCTTCTTCATCTACCTCTGGATTAGCAGAGAAACTAATACTGTTGGTTCCCACAAGAGACTTTTGCAAAGCCAGTAACAGGACAAGCCTCCTTCAAGCCACCAAAGCTGGGGCTTAAAGGCTTTTCAGAACACAGACAGCACTTTTATTGTGATTTTGCTGCTTTCCAATGTGACAGGCACGAAGGCTGCACACCCAGTGTGCTCACTGGGATTGCAGCCACTCAGAAAACTGCACTGTGGCCTGTTAAATTACCTGTGCACATGAGCTACATTCAAAATTCTTTTCATCCACGTATCATAAAGCCATTATGATCATCTTATCTGGCTCTCTGCCTGGCACAGGCCACTCAATTTCCTCAATTTCATTTTTATTTGAATTAGATCCTATACCTCTTATGAAATTGTCCTGTCAGAATTCTCAAATAATCAGCAGTAAGGATCAGCTGCAGTGTACAGTCAGCTGTGCCAACAGGTAATTACTTTCCTGTGGAAAACATGGCCCTATTTCTAGCTTGAATGTGTGTGTTTTCCCATCACTGGAGCTCACTTTATATGTGTGTGTATGCATAGAATTACTGAAGGGAAAAAAAAAAATGATCAAAGTTTCATTTTCTTTGTTCATCTTAATACAACTAAAGCCAAACAGCTACAAATGTTTTGGTTAACTAATGCTCAAGCAAAACAATCAGACTGATCAACTGTAGCAATCCACATGCTGCAGCTGCTGGTGTGCCAAGGCATGGGGCAATGCTTCCAGGATTAGTGCTGGCAAGAGGCTGAGGCAGCAAGGCTGGAGCATGGCAATGGAGCCCATGGGGAATTGGTACAAGCTCAGCTCAGCTGGGGTTTGTTTATAAAAATGCTGCTGTGAAGCACCACACACGTAGCACCTTTGCTTATGGGAAGGGTCTCATGGCAACACAGCGACTTCTGCAAAGCTCCGACTCGCTCAACGCAGCCAGGAATTAGTTTGGAAAGGCAGGAGAAGGAATGACAGGGCTGCTGGCTGTGACAGGCCACAGGACTGTATGAGAGCATAAGACAAACAGTTGCTCCATACCTACTATATGAGACTAGCAAAGCCACTGTGACGAGGCAGATGGACAGCACATGTCGCCATAGTAAATCCAGAAACCTTGCATTGTTTGTTTGGTGCATTCTGAAAGAGATGGAGAGCCATTAGCACAGGGGCAGGAGCTGAGCAGGCCTTACCTCTGTCCTCACTTCCTCTGAAACCCTAGGAAAGCTCTACTCCAGTGGGGTCATGGGCAGCTTGATCCCATCCCAGCAGCAATCTGTCCCACTGGCAGCAGTTACAGAGAAGCCAGAGAGCCACACGTGTGTCTCTCCAGCTGTTAACAGCTGTGATGGAAGGCAGAATGCTCACAATTACTGCAACTGATGGGAAAGGCACGTGCTGAGCATATGCAACAGGGAGCCAAGACATCAGAGTCCCTCCATCGCCCACAAAACCTGGAGGAACTGTGAGTTTTGTCTTCCTCCACGTGTGGAGCCACAAGACAGAGCCATGCCCCAGCAAGACTTCCAGAAAAGCACAGCACAGCATGGCAACCCAATCCTTGGGAAGGGAGGTGAGCTAAAAGGTCATGCAAGTGGGCAACAGCTATTACCTAAAAGATGGCAGACAACCCCACTGACAAAACTGAGCGGACACATGAGAAAGCAGCTCTTCTTTCCTCCTCCCTAATCCCCCCTCTTCCCTCACCCTGGGGCACCATCACAGCTTAGAAGAGGCAAACTGGGAGCCCTGTAGCCCAACAGGCAAAGGAGGCCCCCCCATACCCTCCTGGCACCTCCAGCCCTACATTCAGATTAGGACACACATGCTGCATCCACCCAGGCCACAGTAAATTGTGCATGTCCTCAGATTTAATTCCATTATCCCATTGAAGGGGCACCCAGCAAGGGAGACACCTCTATCAGGTGCTTCAACATATTGACAGCCAAAAACCTGACACGGAGTTTTTACCTTAAATAAAGGAACAGAAAGGAATAGACAGAGAAAAACCACATGAATTGGGAGTGGCTGGACGGCATCCCATATTTTGTGGTCACTGTTGAATGGGCTTCTGGGAAGAGAAGAAGAAAAGAGTATGGTCAAGGTGTACTCTGCACAGAGCAGTTGCAACACTCCAGATGTGTAGCCAGAACACTCTGCTGGAGTATGTGCACACAGCTCACAGGGTATGTCCCTGCTCAGATGGCTCTGCCAAACCTTCTTACACACAAACACCTAAAGGCAACACCCTAACCCCCCTCAGTCAGCATTCCACTGGAGCTCCAGTGCCACCACACCCCCACGGCCCATTCCATACCTTCACACGGCCGAGGCTCCCGGATTACATTTTTTATTAACCAGTTGACTCCCTCATTGCACACCAGCCCTCCCAGGAAAGAGATCTGTGAAGGCAGAACAGCTATGTCATCCTCTCTAAAAAGATCCTTCCACTTACCAGGTTCTCTGTTGCCAAAACCCCAAACATGATGTTTCCAGTTATGACAGTGCTCAGCAATTCTGCCAGCACTCTTCCACCAGCAGAGCAGTGACATTTTTCACCAGGGCAGTTTTGGGGATTGGCTTTCCCTAGTGACCAACAGGGGGAGTGCAGACACTGTTGTTTGGATAAACAGCTTAAAATAAAGGTGACATTTTAGGCTTTCTGGCTTTTCCCTCTATGAATATTTTCATCTTGAAGTTGCTGTCTTCAGTGTAACATGAATTCACATTCTGAGCTAAGCCAGACTGGGAGCATTTATTTTTACTCTCAGATTCCACAGTCCATACACCTCCTCTAAATTAGTCCTGCTGCTGTGATCAAATTCCCAGCTGGTGATGACACTCTGCCTCCTTAACACTCAGTCCCATTCCAGATGATGAAGCAATTTTTCACTCTACATCCTGAGGTGCAGGTCAGGCTGCTGCAAGTCAGCCAGAGTCTCTCTCCAGCCCAGTGGTGACTTCCCACATGAAGAACTGGGAATCAGCCTCAACACTTGCCTTGTTACCTGTTGGTAACAAGTCCCTGTATTCAAAAACCTAAAACTGTGCAATAATTACTCTAGCTCATTCTTTTGGGTCAGAAAGAAACCTTTGGGTTGCCAAAACTTAAGAGCTGCCTCTCCTAGTTAGAATTCCCAGTTCTAGGTCCCTTGAGCCACTGATTCCCATGACACCATGGCCCTATCTTAGAAATCTGCTGTCAAAACCCTTTCAGTGGCCCCAATTTATCTGTTTACTGAGGGTGAATGTTACAAGAGGTTTATACCTCCTGAAGGAAATTCATCCATGACACTGATTCCCAACTATCTGTCAGAGCAGACAGAGAGCATTATATATTATGAGAATTTGGACAGAAGGAAGCCTCTTCTGTCCCTGGTGTTGGAGTCACAGTTGAGAATCAGCCCTTAAAGACAGATCCACTCCCTTGGGAATCTGTAGGTTTTATTTTGTATCCCCTTTTCTGCCTCAGTAGGTCAAAGAAAGTACATCCTCCTGAGTTACACACACCACTGCCTGCATATGCTGCTCAGCTTGCAGGAACCTGCTAGTGCTATGATCCTACTGGATATTGGGAGTGTTCCCACTCTGCAACAGCACTCTTTACTTCCTCAGACATCTCCTCGATGCTTTTGGACAGATAATGTACCAAAACACACCACAGAGAGAAGTCAGCAAAGGCTAAGCAGCCTTTTAACCTGGTATGGGTGCTAAGTGTCTCCTGCTGTTCTCTGACAGCAAGGATGCCTTACCCAAGCTTGTATTTAGAGAGAGAAAAACAAGTGTGAATACTGGAGCACCAGGTGAGAAAGGAAAACCCGAAGTCATAAAGAGAGGCTGGGAAGGGAGAGAAAGACTCACCGTGTGAAGTTCTCTCTTGAATATGATGAGTGTTACAAAGCCAACAATAATGAATATTGGACCAAGACTCAAATAAGCTAAAAGCTGACCAGAGAAATCACCTGGGGAAACAAACAAACAAGAGAAACAAATCAGAGGACACTTCGCAGGCACTTGTCTGCCACCAGAGCAGGGGTCATTGGTGCCCTAAACCTGAGAGCAGAGGGGCAAACTCAGCACTGCAGCAACTCTTCATGCTGCAGTGACAGCTGCTGCTCCAGCCCTGGAGATGCCAAGGCAAGAAGTCAGCAGTGCTTCCAAACAGGTTCAAAATCAGGGATGAGAGGAGCCTGGCATCGCCCAGCAGAGATTACTGCTACCCGACTTGCAACAATGACCATGGGTGTGGGCCCAGAGTCACTTTAATCCAACAGAAGCACAGGCTGCTGCAAAAGAAGCAGCATTTTTCCCTCCCCCTCAGTCAGATTGCTTCTCTGTGCCAGCAATTACCAGCAAACACTCCCCAAACAAATCCTTTCCCACTCCCTTACTGAAATGGGTTAGTTTTCAGCTGGATCAGCTTCCTAATCTGTCTCACCATGTGTCTGCACGAACACTAGCATTAGCAAAATGGGGAGGAAATAAATAGCTAAACATAGCAGGAGATAACAGGGAAATAAAGGAGATTCTGCCTTTTTAACCAGTATCCCACAGAAGGGGCTTTGAGCCTCCTCCCCAAATAACTAACAGTCTAGCTGTCCCCCAGGGAGAATCTGGAAACAGCAATGGGACCACACAAGACGTCAGAAGGTACCTCAAAACCTTTGCCCTGAGCTATCACAGACAAAATTAGGCAGCAACAGCAAAGAGCAGCTGTGCATTTTGGTCTAAGCTTCTCTTGCCTTTGTTCCCAGAAAAAGGGACAGACACATAGAGAAGTACTTGGAGAGAAGATGTCAGCATGAATTCCAAGGAAGCAAAAAATTATCAGAGTAATTTTGCTCCCAAATCAGCAATTCACATCAGGAAGCTGAGAACTGTCTACCAGAGAACCTTTAAAGGCAGCAGTCACTACAAACCCAGCCAGCAGACAAGAGATGGGCACTTGACATATTGGTTCTCAGATCTTCTCCATCCCATCACTCAACACAAAAGGATCAGCCCCCACAGAAATTTATCCTTCCTCCCTCTCTCCAAAGGAAACAGGATGCCTCTGCAAGACTGAGCATTGGACTCATTCCTAGATCAATTCCACTGCAAGATCCTGAGTCTCCCCAGCCCACGCACCCACATTTTAAAGCAGCACTTGGCAAAAGGGACTTTAACCTCAGCCTCTGCATGCTGGAACTGATAAAAGAGAAGTTATTGCCCTGCTAAAACAAAGTTCATGCTGCTGGTGTTATTGCCACATAGTTGTGGTTACACCAGGTACAGTGCACAGGAGCCTCTGGAATTCCAGACTGACTTAGATTTGGGAACCAGCAACATCAGCAGAAAGGATTACTAGCAGGAGTTTTAGTTTGCATCAGTGAAATTAGGAAGATTTGGAGGACAAATCCCCCAGGCACACTGGGTTTTCATAAGGTGAGGTTCTATTTTGATTTTAACCTGAAAAGTGTTAGAAGATGCTGAATTTGAAACTTTTCTTGCTCCATATGGCAGGTTTGCCTTGCACCAGGTGGATTCCAAAGGTTCCCAAAGCAGCACAGCAATGAACTGTGGCAATGCAAAGGGGATGTAAGTGACAGCATCAGTTAGGTGGCAATAGAGAATGAAGCCCCTTATGGTTTTGCAAAAATCACAAACTCTCAACTAAATGAATCCTGTCCTCAGTGATGAGGGGATTCATGAGATAAGCCACCAAAGTACCCTGAAAGACTTAGGAATGCTTTCCAACAGTCTCCATTCCAGCGTTACCAAGCCAGAAGAGCTCATCTTGGAGGAATCACCACGTCTCAGATCATTCACTCTGTTAATCCAAAGTACATAAAGGCTCAGCACTTCCAGACTAAAAGCCATCATTTTGTCAAGTAGAAACCAAACCAGAGCATTTATCTTCTTGGGGGGTTCTGTTTCTTGTGCAGATGGTGGAAGGATACTGAAGGAAGTAGTCTTTTGATTTAAATAGCATCAGCAGCACCAAACTCCAGATTCTCTGTTATGTGACATGATAACATTCCCAATAAATCAAACCACCCAGACTTTACAGGCACAACACCCACACTTGAACCTGAGCAGACAACCAGATACCACCGCTCCCAGATGCTGCCTACAGGCACCAAGTCCTTCACTCAATCTCAACACAAAAGCTCCTCCAACATTTCAGCTGTCCATTTAAAACAGAACAGAGAGCACCAATAATACTTCACGTTCTTGTGGCTAACAGCAATTAAACAGAGTCACATTCCAAAAGCACTTTTTCTAGGGGAGGAAACAAACAGCTGAGCACACACTGAAGGCAGAAGTGGAGCTACACCGAAGTCACTAAAGCTATCACAAAGGTACCTGCTGGTTGAGCAGCTCCAAGCAGAGCTGCACTAACTAAACCAGCTCTGAAAGGAGTGGAAATCCCCAGTGCAGGAGGCAAAGTGAGCTGAGAGGGAAAGGCCAGCGCTGAGCACCGCACAGTGCTCCAGGGGCCTCCGAGCCTGATTACTTATGTCACTCCCATCTCCTCTCACGCTCCAGTGAGCTCCGAGACTTATTCCCAGGGAAAGGAGACGTGCAGGAGAGCCACGGTTTCAAGTTCAGTCAAATCAAGCAGCAACCCCCTTCCTTATAAAAATTAATCCTTCTTTATTTAACTAAACTTGGGAAATTTAAAGCAATTCCTCCAACCGGTAAGAAGAGAGGCAAAACCCCTGCAAAAATGCAAGAGGAGAATCTGTTTAATATATACACCATGGGTTTTGTTTAGCTGCAAATTCGGCTTTTTTCAAGTCCAGCCTCCCCTGGTCAGCATTTGGGGCTCAAAAAGCAAAGATAAAGAATGCAATATCTCATTTTTGGGCATCCAGGAGATAAATACATGCAGCACTATACATAGCTGAGACACAGGCTATTTTTTTCAGCCTTCATTCAGCATCTACTTCTGCTCCAATTCAACATTTTACCCAGCATTCTTCCCGTGGAAACATCTAAGCTTCACCACATCAGCTTAACCTGTAGAGAATGTAAAGATGTGAATCCACAGCCCTCTAACCACATCCTACCACAGGACTGAGCTTTGCCACCACCACTTCCTATTGAAGCATCTATTTGTGGCACTGCTGCTGGTGGTGTGCTCTGGGCTAAGTGCATGTGTGCAAGTTGCACAGGCAAAATGCAGTGTATGTGTGTCGTGGGCATTTACATCAGTAAATATTCATGATGGGTTGTCATTTCCTCTGCTTGCACATCTCCTCACAGCACCGGCTGTGGGACAGCAAAAATATCTTCAGGAGGCTTTAAATTATGGCATAAAGGCAGGAATCAGACATAACTTCTGCAGGGGGATTAAACATAAACCCTGCATTAAAGCAGCCAAACAGGAGTGGGATCTGCTTCTTTCAATAGATACTGCTCAGCTATGAAATGAGCCCTGATGATGAGTTCCCACCCTGCATAGAATCACATCTCTGACCTGTGAGCTCCCACCCTGCACAGAACCACAGCTCTGACCATGAGCTCCCACCCTGCACAGGATCACAGCTCAGACCATGAGCTCCCACCCTGCACAGAACCACAGTTCTGACCATGAGCTTCCACCCTGCACAGAATCACAAGAGGGTTATCAGAACAAACATTCCTATAGGAGCAGCATGTGCTGATGCTGAACAGCA